AAAAAAAAAAAAAAGAAAAATCGATGTAATAATATTCGAGGAACAGTCGCTTCGCATGTGGTTGCTTCGTATCGCTTGGCATCGTCGCTAGAACGACCGGCAACATACTTTTCGTCCCTGATACATCTCGAGAGAGAACGATCAAATGAAACCGCGATCAAGCTAGCTGAGAGATCGTATCGATCCTTTTAGATCGGTGCCCATCTTACTCGATATATTTCGCGTGTGTGTATGTGTTCCTCTTTTCTTTCATCAAACACGTTCTCGCGTTCAAGACTGAAGTAACTGAAGTAACCTGAAGCTCTGAAAACTCGATTCAATTCCCGATACGAGCGGTTTATATCGACGAGCTAAAGAGTTCATTGAATTCGTAAAGAGAAGGGCCTGTCGAGGGATTCATGTGCGAAGCGCGATAAATGATAGCTGTACGATAGGTGCAGCGCCATCAATAGACAATTTAACAGAGGGAAAATATAATATATAGTAACGATGTAATTAATATACAGTTTCAACAAAAGAGAACCGAGTTATCTTTCTTCCTTATTGTTAGACTAAACCTAACCCGTCTGTTCGCAAATATAAAATAAATTCATGACGTGCATGTAGCTACTTAAAAGTAACATTTTATTCCTGTCAAAGAAGTTACAGTGTTTGTTGCAAACAATAAGCTGCATTCAAAAGGCGTAAAGCAAAAGAAAGATCGTGCATTTTTTTTTTCCTTTAAGAAAAAGAAATTTTTCCGCCCAACACACGTACGTAATGATATATTTACTTGAATTCTACGAAATGGCACGTTATCGGTTTGGGTCTCGAGGCATGTGAAATAAAACGTGTACGAAATTGACGTAATAACCAAACATACTGCTCGTCTTCTCTTCTTTTTATTTAAGATACAGTAAGAATTAGTGGGGATGGTCGCAAGACAACAGCCAGCACTTGGTAAATAAAGGTTTATTCGACTTTTTTTCCTTGCCTATATCGATATTACTTAGTTAGTCTGGACAAAGTTACAACTAGAGGCACTAGTCAAGCTTAAATTCTAGCCGACTACGAGTTCGTATTATGATCGATGTTCTAAAGACTATGTTTTCCCCCAAATACGGTTCGGAGAAGAACCGGAAAAATCGTGTCAAAGATTGACTTGCTAGAACTATTAAATTAATTAATAGCTATTATGCTCACTCAAAGTTTTGATCACTGACCACTAAGTGGTGTTCTCCTATCGATCTCCGATCGGTGTGTGATGTAATATAATAATATTATATTATTATGTATATATAAAGTGTATATACGCGATGCGATTCGCTTAAGAGACGAGAAAGATACGGAAGAGTCAAGAAAAACTGATGCGCATCCCCTTATTCTCTACTTAATAAAAATACTATTCTAAAAGTGTAAAATATTATATAATTTGTCATGAAACTTACTACTGATCTTCGTGTAATCTAAAAGAAGGACAAACACGTGGACTTTGCGTTCGCCGTCAGCGTCACGCATTTCCGACAATCTACTTCTTTTGTGACTTCTGTTTTTATTATTATTCGTATGTACACCTGTGTTTTCTCTCTCTTCCTCTTTTCCCTGTTTTCTTCATTCTTTCTCTCACGTGAGCCACGTAAAATGATTCGGTAATACGAAGAACATAGCCGACTCAGATCAAGGAAGTATCTTTGTAAGTGAAATGTTGTTAATTTGGTTATTATGCACAAAAGGTCGATACATGTTACGTGTAACTTGAAAGTGTGTTCATTAGGGTTTAATTCACGTGTAATATATTATGCAAATGGCAAGAAGCAAGCGGTAAAAGGCGGTTATTGTGAGACTCGCTTGTTTTTAATTTGAAACGCCAACGAAAGTTGATAGTTGAGATGAAAAATAATCCCATGTTAAATAATGATTTGAAAACTATGATCAAATATCAGTTGAAATAGCCTATCATTATTATTGCATTTGGTTTATGAGTTTTCCTTGGCACAAACATACACATATTCTTTAAATTGTTATCTGAAAAAAAGTAGACAAACAAGAAAGAAGCAACGAAAACATGACGAAAAAAAGCGAAATAAATAGATAAAAAAGAGAAGAAAAATGCTATTATAAATTAATATCGTCGAAATTGCCCTACGCAACTGCAATTTGTCGAAGTAACGACCATGTCTATATAATAAAAATAATATTTGAAACGAAATTAGTTTGTAGATATATTAAGTTTCTCACGCAAAACTGGACCGACACCGGGCAGTGTGTCATTACGGCAGAATCGCATTAAGTGTATAATACTGGCACAGTGAGGCAATGACCTTAGGATTCTCTAAACTATTAATAGTATGATATATATATATATATATATATATTTTTTTTTTTTCTACACTCACCTATTGACTCATATAATTCACCCGTACTTTCACGCCGATTATTCTTACTCACACGTTTCCTTTTTCATTTGTTCCCTATGAAAATCAATAGTAACAACATCGAACTGTCGAGGGCCGATTCTTTGTCGACGATTACTATAAAAAAGAATAATATAATATTACTTTATTTCACACATAACGAAGCAAGAAATTAAATAGAGTACGGGCCAATTAATTACGCCGACAAGGAATCGATTCCTGTCTTATTTCGTTGAAACTTCGCAACAAAGTACTTAATTTGCATGACGATTCTATACTCGGTCACAGCCTTTAGGGATGTAACTTGATGCATGTTATATCACTGTTATTTCTAAAGCCTAGGAAATACTGCAGGCACGAATAAAATCCCGAGATATTTGTCAATTTGAATTTTTTTCTTCTTCTGTACGATTGTTTTGAAGCAACTACCGAATTTACTTCTTTCATTATAAAACTGATTTTTCTTAGATATGTGTTGAGTCGTAAAAACTTATCAAGTTGCAAGTTCTCGCTCACGATTTACAACCGTTGTTCAATCCGATCTGTGTTGCGAAACCAAACTTTTTCATTTTTTTTCTTTTAAACTCGTCTAACAGTCTATAAAAATTGTCGAAATTGACATCACACTAACGATTAAGATTAAAATTCGAAGTATCGAAAGTTACGATAATCCTATATCTAAAATGAGCAACTATCGAATCGTAAAACCTTCGACGGCTCGAAGACAAGATAAATCACCAAGGGCTTGGTGTTCCTTTACACTCTGAACACGATGCATACGATAAAATCGTATGATACAAAATCACCGAACATGGGTGAGAACCTACGATTTATGCTTTACTGATGCCACATTCTGCCATATCATAACACGCTGAACGAGCGGTCTAGTTTGCAGTAGGAACTACGTAGTCTGACAATCGAAACGCGGCACCGTCTGTTGATATCTTATCATTACTCTGATTTAGTCAGATATCGACTTCAAACATATCCTGTTCGATTGGTTTTTTAACCCAACTGCCAAGGTGTGCCTTTACGAAAGCTTCCTTCAATTGATGCTTGGCAAGCTGTTGTAGAGAAAAATTAAACGAAATAATGATGAACGTAACTCTCGTATCAACGTTTAACGAGAATTACTTACCGAATAATTCTGTACCGAAGATTTTGCGTCTAAATAATGGCGACACTGATTCTTATCAGCGTCGTCTATAGTATCAAGTTTACCTAGTAAGTTGTAAAATCTTCTGAACAGTCCTTGTTTGGATATTCTAGAGGGTTTGCCTAATTCGTCTTTGCCAGTCGTACAGTTTATTACCTCAGCTTCTGATTGACCTATAAATTTTGACATCAAGTTGCAATGAAGTTTTTAATCCACCCTCCTCTCTTCGACGTACCGATTGTCCAATTAACGCTATAATTAGGTGCTTTCCCTGGTTGTCTAACTTCGGAAGATGTGATTAGACTCATTAGCGGTTTATTAAGTCTGTATGGCGGCGGTAGTCCTTGAATAGTGTTTTCAATACGTCCGCAGACCGCTCTGTACATATGGCTTGGGTTCAATAGACTGCCAAGAACGATGCTGTGGAAGTAAATTGGCTCGATGAAGTGGCTTAGAAGTGCACCTTGCACACCAAGTACGTTCCACCGAGCTATTTTGTCCGAACACGACATCGTCAGCAGTCTTTGGCCCTATAAATTAAAGTTAAACATTTGTGTATTGAAGTCCGTACGAGAATGTCGAATATTTTTCTTCATTGTATTCGACATAAAATACATCATACCATGAGCACACCGTCCCATGTTTGAATACCTTCGCTGCTCTTTACAGGAATGGTACCTTCTCCAGACTCTATTTTAGTTCGCAATTGACCTCTTGCTCTTCGATTTGGATGTTTGTCGACAGACTCATTCTCCTCGTGAGGTGAAAAAATTCTGGCATCACCACATGGGGCGGTGTTTATGTATAAATGAAATTGAATCCCTTGCTTTAGTTTGAAACCCTTTTTTGCCGGTTCTAAAATAGATTCCGCTCCGTGATCCTCTGTATGAAGCTCTAATTGTTTATACAAATATTCGCACAAACATCTTCTTGCAACGACTTCGGCATGACAATCATTTAAAGCACCACCGCTGACGCTAAGGTGCTCTCCCGAAACACATTTTGTACCTTTCATTTTTAGAAAGAATATACATATAATGTAATTTACAGTTTTGATTTATATGCAAAAAATTATATAAAAAAGCTTACCAGTTGTTACACATATCAGGTCTGCATCCGAACCTTTAGTCTGAACAATGCCAGCTAAAACTTTACGACGAGCATGTTGCGGTTTCGATTGAATTAATTCGCTAAATTTTTGGTTTACCATCTTTCCAATTTTGTCAGCTAACATTTGAGGTAACGTCATTTGATCTTGCCAATGGCCGCTACTGGAAAAGTTCGGCAACACGCGAACCGGAAGCGGTATACAGAACGAGGAACTGTGAACGTTCCTTAATTTGGCCAGCGCTGCTTTGCTTGCCGCAGCTTTCGCTAATTTTTTACTTGGTCCAGTTCCTTCGAATGTTTCTCCATCGATTGTTACCGATATCGTAAATTTCGCATAACTTTCTCCATTGTCAGACACGCATTTGTACACTACACCGGGATATAATTCATTAATAAGAGCCACAGGTCCTTTCTCTAAAAATTTATTTGTGCTCTTTGGCTCTTGGGTCAAAGTTTTGAAAGCGTTGACTAGATGATTATCACGTTCTGTAACATCGCTCGTAAAATCTGGTTCAAGAGGAATAGAAGGTTGGCAAGTATTAATTGCTTGATGAACTTCTGGCGTATTCCTAAACTGAATGATGTTTCTTAGGGCAAGCTCAGCAGCAGCATGTTTCGCCATTTTCTTAGTACGTCCCTTGCCCTCGTAAGTTTGTCCATCTATTTGTACAGCTATTGTAAATATCGGAGCATGTGTAGGACCAGTTTGATCAACAACCTTGTACACCGCACCAGTTTTTAATTCGTTCAGGGCGCATACTGCATTTTTCGGCTGTGGATTCTTGTGACGCTTTTTTGGGTTGGTTGTACCTGACAAAAATAATAGAAACAGATTAATCACTTGATGCTCTTAGCTGGCTTTCCTTTGGCCAGGAGCTGAACTTGAGCCTGAAAGATTTATAAGGTGATCCATGTTCTGCTTGTGTTTACAAAAGAATTGTAACTTTTAATACGTGCATGCATAACAATTACAACGGCATGATATAGAATCATACAACCAGTCACTGACCTTCAGGTTCTGATTCTGCAGGTCTTTTCAAGATCGGTCTCGAGATATTTGGCTGCTCCATCTGTGAAGAGGACAATAAGCTACTGCTATGCATTCGAAACAGGCTTGTGTCCCAGGAATGATCTTAATTAACTGGAACTCACCCCTATCAAATGTCCCTCCTGCAATCCCTCTGTGGGAGATGCAGAAGTGGTAGCACCGATCGTGGATGTGTTGCAGTCTAAAGATCGGGAATAAGAAGAGAACAGCGTTATGAGAATTGGTATACGCGATAGTTGAATAAAAGAAAAAAAAAATATCGACGTTTGAGTTTTATACTTGTTTCGTTGGTGCCTTTGTCATTATTCAACATTGTCAATCCGTTCGACATTTCTTGTCCAACAGACGCGTTGAAAAATGCACCCGAAAATAGTCTTTCTTGAAACACTGCACTGTTACATTGATTTTAATTATACTCGTGTCATGATATGTCCGCAGCGCCACTGCTGTTTTTTTCCTAGCCTCGACATAACCTATTTCGGATAGAATACATCCGTTTAATGCATTGCGAATACCTACGCGGAATGCACGCGATTGTACGTGACTGAGTTTTTCACGAGACGAGAAGAAGAAACACAGACGATCGACGCGAGATTTAATCAGTTCGATTTAACAACACACCTTCCGCACGTACTCGAGCAGCTTGTTTACTGCGCAGAGTACTGCGCACACGACAAAGGAAACTCGCGCGGAGAGTCGATTTAAAAGCAAGACAAGACTCTTCTGTTAGAATCAGGGTAACGATGCGCGAAGAGTTTAAGGTGCAACGAAGATAGACAGACAAGTATATATCCACGACGTCTCTGTTTTTATATTGTTAATCCTCTCAAAATGACCAAAAATAGTGTTGCACCATTATCATGGAAACACAGAGAGTCCGTTTCTTTTCTAGCTTCACCACTTTTTTTTTTGAAACCCAGTAGACAGAATACACGTACTAGCGCAGTATACCAGTATACGTATGATTTTATATTCAATAATAGAAATTAATGTTTTGTCATTCAGAACATGTATCACCTTAATTGCATAACTAGCGTAACGATAAAAATTTCGAACGCGATAAAAGAATAAATCTGAGGTACTCACTTTTCTTTCTAAAAATATAAAACTTTGCGAAAAGATTTTTGCCCTTGCAACTTTTGTCCATTCTCTCAGTAGCAATTATTGTCTTCTTCAATAAAGTTATTTATTTCGATAAAGTCGAAATTAATTAATCAGAAATTATCAATATTAGCATATATATGTGTATATATATATATATATATGAACATGCTTTATTATTTTTAATATTTTTAAAATTTCAATTTAAAAATAGCCGTATTGACGGGAGGCTATTGGAAAATTCGAAAACGAAAGGCTAGGTACATTTTGTCACCGCGTTTCTTCTTTTTGGAAAAAATAATATTTATTGTCGTAGTCTTGTAGAAAATGTCGGGCGATTTGCGTTTCGTGCACGCGCGTGTTGCTTTGCGTGTTCCAGGCGAATAAATTCAATGATAAACAGCATTTAACAAATAAAAACTATTGTTTCATTCTCAAACGTAATAACACGTGCACAATGATGTGTCTTTCTCGGCATTTCTCGCAAGTTTAGTTGACGATGAGAGTAAAAAATCAAGGATTCTAGGATACATTCTCTGGCACTAAACGAAATATTAGACAAAGAACGACACAGAGAGACAAAGAGAACTATAATTACTTAAGCAATAATAAATTCAAATATGCACAACAGACTAATTGTACAGTAGACAGTAGATTAATCGTAAGTTTCAATTCGTTCCCAAATTTCAAAGTGTTCTACCCAAGTATCTTTCGAGCCACTCGTTCAGCATTGTTCGATGCTTGACATTCTCACTTAGGATAAACCATGAGGAGTGTATTATTAGTAGTAATCGAAACTTGAACGAGAGATCTGGGCGGTCGATCGTCGATGGCGATTCGACGATCTTCCAAGTGAGAGAAAAGGCAAGGAATTCTTAACGAAAGGAACCGCAAACGGAATGCGCCCAGGGAATAGAATATCCCAGAGTATCTGGGTTGATCGAAGACGTATATCAACGCTGGTTGTCTGAGAAAAGGTTCGCGAGCTTTTTGCTCGTAAGACAAATTGACCGGCGCCGCGACAGACAGAATGCCGAAATATTCATTTCGAGATTTCGCTGGAAAAACTTGCGCGCCGCTGCAGTTCAATCCTTCTTTATGGACCTCTTATCAAACCGAAAAATTCCTTCGAGGAATTTCTTTCTATCGGGACAGAAATTTCCCTCGATATTGGAATATTTCCCGATGTGACACGCGTCATATTCGGTACTTAACGCGTCCCGATTGATTCGCAACACGTTGGCATCTGACAGCTTGTGATTAATGCATTGCATTCCTTGCTTCAATTATCTTGCGACTGAATTTTTTTACGCTTGATCGATTATCTCGAACGGGCAAATAAATATGGCATTGACAAGTCAACGTCCGTTTTAACATGCAACGCGAGTCAAGTTCGTTGATACGTTTGCCAATGGATTATCGGATTGCTTTGAATTCGACTTATTGATTAATCGCCAAACACTGCTTTGATCTACGTAAATCTTGACGTTTATGCGAATCGGTCGAATAACAACTGGTTATTGGCTTGATAAGATTCCAGATTCGAAGTGTTGGCCGTGCTTTCGAAGTGGTTCGATACTGTTCCTTACGAGTCGAGCGGATCGGAAGAAAAATGTTAGGAAATTGTTGCTTCTCTTTCGTTCTGCTAACAATCTTCATTTTATTGGTGAGCAATTACACCACGGAAAGGGCAAGTCATTGATAAGAGTCTTACACATTCGTGTCTTTCTTTTTTTTTTCTTTTTTTAGCATTCTGGAAAGGCGGATATTAGAAAGGATTGTCGCAGAGAATCGAAGGTTTCATGGGGTATATTTATAATAATAGTTTCTATAATTATCCATAAAAACCCAAGGTAACGACTCACTAATGAAACGCTGATTTTTTTTGTTTGTTTCTCGTTTCAGTCGCGTTAAGGAAGCTAAAGGCCGGAGACTTGGAACAAGAAGATCAAAACTTAAAATGCTACCTGAAGTGCTTCATGATGAGGCACGGTATCTTGGACAAGAACGCGGAAGTGGACGTGCAAAGGGCGCTACGGCATCTGCCACGCCGCATGCAGGACTCATCCAAGAAACTGTTGGACAAGTGTAAATGTGTTGGTGAGTGTATCACGCGTTTTTCACCCTCGAGAACTTATTGTTATTCGATTGCACACGTGCACACGTGAGATGTCGTTTTCCCAAATAAAATTTTAGCTGCAATCTTTTTAACGTATTCAATATATTTGTAATACATTCTTAGCTTCCCATTTAAGCCTACAGACATTGATTTGTTCAAACCATTTCTTTTCTAGCCTATCATTTTAGCTACTCTATTTTCAAAATTTTCTTCCTTGAGTTATTCACCAAAATTTTACTTAATTTCCTCTCTCTCCTCACCGTGATAGAAAAATTTATTTTTCTATTAAACCAAACCTGTAATTCCTCCTATCTGGTCATAATCCATCGTAACTGCATTAAACTGCTCGTTTCTAGAGGGCTCCGATCCTTGCGACAAGGCCTACAACATGGTTAAATGTTACGTAGGACATCATCCAGAGGTGAGTCGTTCGGCGTTTTCGTTCAAAGGCCTGAACTCTATTCTCCATTCGCTTTGCAGATTTTGCGCAACGTCCATTTCCTGTAGAGCTCTCGTTGGAGACACTCAGCCGCAGGGAGAGACGCTCAAGTATTCAAGAAGAGAAGACAATATTACTCTTGGTTTCGTGCAATCATTATGGGAGATAAAAGAAGAAGATAGAGGGATACGGAATGTTTGACGTTGAATGTAATTATAGGTTTAGTATGGGATAAACGATGGTGTAATACAAAACGATCGTCTTAATCATGTGCACGCGAGTCCCAACTTCCTTCCCACTCAAGAAAGTTTTCATTGCTCGAGATTCTCGTCGACCTCGCGGACAAAGTCTATTATTCTAGGAACGTAGGAACGCACGGATAAACCGGAAGGGAAATCATTCAGCAAGCGATCGGGCGAAACTTCCGGCGAAGTAGCATTTCCATCGAGACATTGGTGTCTGGCGGAAATTAACTTCGGTCAACGACGCGATTTTTCTTGTCTTTATCTCTGTAATGCCAGAGGCTCGCTTACGCGTTGATATCTCTGGCGAATTGCTATTAAATTCAATGTATATGCGAATAAAATTATTTGAATAGTTGCTTGGATACAGAAGTATTCGCGAAAACAGGAGTAAAAATTATTCTGTAGTGTTCGTTATTTCTGACATGGTACAGACGAATTTCAGAAAAATATTGGCATATAATACACGAGCGGAACAGTTTTTAAATATTAATTTCGATGCAGTTTTTAAATATCACGAGAGAGATTATAGTCATTATCTGAAGCAGTATTATTTTAATGAAGATCAATAGATAGATCGACGAGTTTTAATAATTTAAAAGCGAACTTTTAAAGTTAATATCTGGTGATTTTGTAAGGTGATAAACGACACTTGATGGTGTATTTCACGTAAGACGACTGATACAAAGAAACCACTCTGCGTTTCTACGAAGTCGCAACAGTATACAAAGATCATACAGCCTGCAGGAGAAAAGTGTAAAAATTCTGTTACACCGTGAATCACCAGTTTTGCATTAGACATATGTATCTCAAAACCAAATTACTCAAGTTCAGAAAGAAGAACTCAAACTCAGAGTCCAACTAAGATTCGAGACTCGATCGATCACCTAGCAAGCATATTGAGAATTCCCATCGAGACTCAGCTTCCACCTGGACGGAAACTTCTCGCCTCCAGTATCCGCGACGAGCGAAAGAAACATGGCCAGTTTCTTCCAGGCTGGTGACGTGCATGTGCCTCTCTAACCGACTTCTGAAAACGTAACTTAGGTCGTGTCTATATTCCACCAGCGGTGGTGGTGGTGGTGGTGGAACTGGGTCACAGTTCTCTGCCCATCGGGGTATTAAAACAATCCCTAAGCTGTTGGCGCGGGGACCAAGGGGCGGCGTGGAATGGTGGGCGTTAGCCACCGGGAAGGGGTAAATAACACGCCGAGGGAGGCAAACAACACGCGTAGGAGAAAGAGCAAGGGTGACTGTAGCAGGGAGTGAAAAAAGGAAAAAAGAAGAAGAAGAAGTAGAAAGAAGAAGAAGAAGCTGGTGCTGGGCGAGAGCGGGGTTTATAAGTGGCGAAAGTACTGCGAAAAGCGACAAGGCTAAACAACGCAAGAGAGGCGAACGACGAACGATAATGATGCACCACTCGAGGCGTCCTCTTCTTTCTTCTCTTCTGCCCCGACTTTTCAACGGGACGATTCGATTGTTCCCTTTTGGGAGGATGTTTCGTGTGTACACAGGCTCGCGAAAGTACTCGAAAAGTGCTTGTAGACAGTCTTTTATAGGTAGGTACGTATATCGTGCGCGTTGTGTCGCGAGATACTTTGATCATTGATAAAGTGATTACATTGATAAAGTTTGTGACGAATTTGAAAATATAGATGTAGAAGTACGCAGTGCAAGTATATATTTCGTAGAGAAATCGCAAAAGTATTTTAAACACAGTGAGTCAAATTTTATATTAATAAATATCATAATTTTATATATATATATTAATAATATTAATATTAATAAATATCTAAATGTTTCATATTGATAATATTGATATTAATAAATATCTAAATGTTTCACACATATTGATAACATTAATATTAATAAATATCTAAATATCTCACACACATATTAATAATATTAATATTAATAAATATCTAAATATTTCATATTGATAATATTAATATTAATAAATATCACGATTTTATATTAATAAATTTTATATTAAATATATTAATGAATACTGAATAAGGCTACATCGTAGTACAGTAATTTATTAACAGTAATTAATGTTTAAGGTGACTACTTTATATCATGTACTACTTCTTTCATTTTAGCAAATTTTACTTTTCAAATCAAATCCAGACATTATCACATAATCACGACAATTGTGTCTCATTACAGTATCACAGTATTGAAATTTTAAAGCGTACAAAATGTGGACGTAAAAGTTTTTCCGCTCACGAGGGGGCAATATTTTCATCCGTCAACAATGACGAGAATGAGAATTCTAACCTCCTGGAAATTACATACGAAATAAACTTTCCCCGTCTATGATGATACATCGTTGGAAAAGTGAGTAATTCCCCAACATACTCTGTTTATTGTCTCTCGTGCGCTATATCCGGAAAATTGCAGGTTTTGCGTGAGTAGAGTGTAAAATATACTGCTGAGGAATGAAGTAGCAGACCCTGCGGGTGTTTCTGCCCGGCGAGGTAAGATTCCAGGGAGGTTCATCGTGCGCGCGAGATACACCCTGTCTGCTTTACAAAATACCGTTATTAAAACGGAGGAGGACAGTTACGTGGCGAGGCTAACCCTGTGATCTAAGAGATCTAGCCGCTAATCCTCGTTGGCCTGATTAATCCGAGCTCACCGAATTTTCCGGCTCGCCAGTGCACGCCGCTCGTAGAGGAAACGAGCCTTTCCGTCTGGCCATTCCTCGTTATACCAGAATATTCTGTTATCCTTTCTTGTTATCTCAATTCTTGCATAAACTTGGAAAAAAAATTCGAGCTCGCTGGCCTGGTTTTGATAATTCGAGCAATCGAAGTAAAGCGCGCGTTACTCGGTGGAGGTTGCACAGTAAGATTGCAACAAGGTTCAAGTAGGGGTCATCAATTGTTGAACTATAGCTGCTACTAAGACTGTACGCAATTTGCAACGCACAAGGATATTTACGACAGTTAAAACTACCGACTATTAAAGTGTAAATTCGTTTGAAACAAATTTTAATCAATATCGATTAAATTACCGGAATTGAATTCATTTATTTGAACATAAACAGCTGTTACACGAACGAAAAATCGCCAACAGTAAAAAGAAACCAGTAAACTTTTATTATATGAATTTTAATTACATGTAACACATAACAAGTTTATATAAATCAAGATCCAGCGTATCAGAAACACGATACGAAAGAAAGAAGAAACAAAAAAAAAAGATTGGAAAAAATCTACAATGAAAAACAAATCTACACTTGTAAAAAATTTGTTGAAAAACTTAGAAAGTTTTTTATGCAAATTAATCATTCTGACCGTCTTGGTAATTCCAGTGGTCGATGTCTGTAATCGTTGACACTTCGATTAACGAATTTCGTAAAATCGGAGCTTTCGAGATGTAAAATAAAAGTTGGAAAGATCGCGAGAGAAGAAGCGAGCTTGAATTGAACAAATTCGTGATTCTCACCCTCCGATGTATTTCTAATTACCAGTGGTCATCGAGAGTTGTAAATCTTGATAGTTATACGTCGCATCGCCTCCAAGTAAACCAGAGCAGACGTTATCGAAGTTTTCTACTCGATGACGTTGCGTTCAAGCTTCGTTTATCTCTGTCGTCGGTTATGAGACTGCAGAAATTCCCCGGCGAGGGCTATTTTACATCATTCTCGCTGGAACGCGGTCGACCAAAGGAGAACACCCCGATCGTCTAAATAATTCCCTAGCTCTTCAGGCTAGACGAGCTTTTCACGCAACGCCGACTGGTCCTTGCGTAGCAAACGTCGACGTAAATTTTCGCGGGACGTCGTGCCGATTAACGTTGATCCAATATTTACGGGATCGGGAGAAATAATCCTCGACTCCAAGGGAATCGGCGAGCCAATGTTTGGAAAGTCCATGCATCGCTGCCTCGAGGGAATTCCCCGAACTCTGCGAGGCGGTGCAGCTGTTCGAAATTCTGTGCGGCTGTTGCAGCTCATAACCGAGACGTGTGTTTCGTTTGGTAAACTTTAAAAAACGACCACGGGCATTTCGAGCGTGGAAAATCGATGCATGTTCCAGGCGAAACGAAGGATCATCTTCCTCGCTCGTCGAAAATGGCTCGCTGCTTCGTTTTTTTTTTTTTTTTTTTTTTTTTAATTTTTAAAAAAAAAAAAAAAAGTCAACGCGATTCAATAACGCGATTGTTGTTG